GCCAACTGTCATTGGCTTGTTTAGTTAACACTCGAAGGTGATTGGGCTCTCGGGCGAGATCCCAATTCGTCAGTCACTGACGTAACGTCTCCGTTCCCTCCTTCAGGGAACGAGGGTTACACAAGTAACCTAGACGATTTTTCTTTTATGCCAAAAATCATTAGGATATTAAGTAAAGATCATGTTCCATGAAGATGATATTAAGTAAAGATCATGTTCCATGAAGATATTTTGTACATTTCCTACTATATATATTAAACCTTAATTTTTGATTAGTAATATGCATTGCTTAGAACTTCACTTGGACAACTTTAAAGGCGATTTTCTCAATATTTTGATTGTTTTGCACCCTCAGCTTCCAGATTTTCATCTCAGCCAAATATTGTCCTATCCTAACAAACCATACATCAATGGAAAGCTTATTTATTCAGCTTTCAGATGATGCATAAATCTCAATTTCGAAAAATTGACAGTTTTGTGGTCTAGGGTCACATATAAAGTCAGAGTCAGGTATACCCGATAAAAGGAACTCGATTTTTCTTCTAAACACGTGTAAAAGTAAGAATGCATTATAAAAATGTATTTCTTCCCTCTATATCAAACAATGACACGTTTTAGAAAATTAAAAATGAATTGCATTTATTCAAAGATTTATATGGAATCTTTGAGACCCAAAACAAAAACAATGCAAAATATACACTATATTTTACAGCGTCCTTGTTACATTTAAGTACTGACTAATATTAATTAACAACATGCACTTACTATAGTGTTAGGATTAGGGTTTGGGTTATTGCATGTCATTATACATAATTCATTACAATAACAAGTACATGTAACATGTGTAACACGGACACTATAAAATAAATTGTTACCTAAGCTATATAGAGTACTTTTGAATCAACACGTTCTCATGCGAGGTATCGAACTACTCCAATATTGAAGGAACTGTATGTAGTTTTGTGTATTTTTGTGACTTTTGAGCTCCCTACAGTTTTACAGTCGTAAATACAGTATTTTCACTGAATATTGTAGCCGCTCACCAAACTTACAATCTCCTAGAACAGACCTGGGAAAGAAACAGAAGCCATTCATGATATTAGAAGTCAGTGTACTTTCAGGATGATTTTGAAACTGATATTGCAAGGTAAAAAAAACCCTTACATACTGTTTCGTTAAGTATGGTTTTGAACTATTAAGTGTTAGAAGTGTATATGACATTGCGAGATGGCATTTTGTGCAATAGTTTTGTTAGAGTAAATTAGTATGACAGAAATAGTATGATAATATGATACAAGGTCAATCATATGAGGAAATGTTTACATGCAGCTGTTGTGGCTCACCTAAGAAAAATAAATAAATTGATGAATCAAACTGACACACACACACACACACACACACACACACACACACATATGAGCTGTGTAGATTACTTACAAACTGTAGTCCATTACTGATTCCAAATCACATAACAAAAATTGCAGTACCGTAATCGTACATGTTTTGGGTAATATAATCGGACTACTTTTTGATTACTTTCAGATTACTTTTGACTTAACTTGTTTATCACGTCGATTTAAATAGGACAATCATGTATATAAAAATACAAAGAGTAAGAAAATATATTTTATTTGTTGTAATTAACAACATGAAGTGCATTAAACTTTACATTACATAAAGGTTTTCCAAACAGGGGTTCATAAAGGAACTACAGGGGGTTCATAAAATTGAATGAAAAGCTAATAATTAATTAAATAAAAAAATGTAAAAGTAAAATAAATAAAATTTTAAAATAACATAAATCAAAATAAAACACTTTAATTATTTAATTTGTTTACCTGCATGTCATGTGACCATTAACCAACTTCAGAGAACCGTGAACATGCAAATATGATACTTAATTATTCAAATATTTATTTTAAAATCTCAGGGATACTTCAAGTAAATAAATTAGTTGAAAAATGTTCAGATGACAAAAAAGTTTGGGAATCCCTGAATAACATGCTAATAAGAAATAATGTGAATTTGTGCATTTTAAGGTGCTTGGAAGACAAAAGTCTTACAAAGACATTGTAATGCATGATTAAATAACCCACCATAATTCAAATAAAAATTAATGTGATCCTCAGTGATGCAATGTTGAAACACTTCTTAAACCTGAAATGATTTTTGTGAATCCAGTGGTCAAATGCTGTGTGGCCACCTGACTAATGACTGGTCTTTGTGTGAATGTCCAAAAACTAGAAGACAGCAGTAGGCTATTTTAGAAAGGAACATTTAAAAAGATGAAAAAGAGGAATCAGGGTGAATAATTTATTGTTGTTGTGTGAAGAATATGTAATCATGTAATCAATAAAAGTAGCTAGTCTGATTACGAGTATTTTAAAATGTAATTTAAATGAATTACAAGCATACTTAATTTTTGCAATCTGATTACGTAATCCAGATTACATGTAATCAGTTACTACCCAGCTCTGTATGCATACAGTGGGGCAAAAAAGTATTTAGTCAGCCACCAATTGTGCCATCTGGGATCTGTTTAGGACTTAAATTTCGGTCAGTAGGCTTTAGATTCAGTATAGAAGATAATTGTGGGTTTTCTCTCTAAAAAGAAAAGCAACACATCATGTCTGATTTATCATCACACACCTCTGAGCCTAAAGCCACATCCGAGCTTCTGTAACAGTTCTGTCACTTCTCATTTCACATGTGTGCATATCTAAAGGAACCAGTGAGCCAAGGACTTTAGATCCCAAGTCTCTTAATCTAATGTATCAACAGTAAACTAAAGGTTAAGCCATAATTCATTTGTCATAAACTGATGATTCATCCATCTTACAAATCTCTTATGTAACCATTTTTTACAATACAAAAACACTGTCAGCAATTCCCTGTTTTAATTAACAGTGGCTTATGGCAAATTCCTAGAATTAATTAGAGCAAGTCACATCCAATGGTCAATACAAAATAAACAGAAATGCTAGTGTCTGAGATCCATACATCAAAATTTCTTCGGGCTAATTGAATTTGTAAACTGTGGTCAAGCTGAATGTGGAATGCTGTTTATTGTATGAAACAATCTAGATATATACGTATTTTACATTCTGACAGCTGTTTATGTCAGGAAAGCAGAGCCCAGGTTTGTTTAGACTACCAGTATGCGAGTCATTTGCCAAGTAAGCTACACTCAGATGTTGATTTTCTTGAAGTGTTTACAACTAAGCATGCAAGAGTGATTTATATAATCCTTTATATTGTCTACTATGTAGAAACCAGTTATTCCAATGGGGCTAAGCTATACACAGAAATATAATTTTACTTATGTTAACGTCTTAGCGACTCTGTTTTAAGAAAACACATAACCAGCCATATCCCTTCACTGCTTACTAGTCTTAATCCAATTTCAGCAACACTTTACATTCACGTTTTAGAAGCTGGTAGAGCTTTGGCCTCTGAAGACGTTTAAGATTACACATGTGAAACTGATTCTTTAGTGTGGAGCACAGTGCTCACGCTATGCATGTCTACATTTAGTCATGCAAAAGTGAAACCCTGAAAGTATTTAAACGGTCAGAGGGTTCAGAGCAACATGCACTGTATTACTATACTGTACTTCTGCCTAGTGCAGGATAACCCAACAAAAAGTGAATAAATGTATAGTAAAATAGTGCTATTTGGTACCATATACCGGTTATCGATTGATTATTCACGCTTTTTAATTTGACTATAGGGTGACTAGACGTCCCGTTTTTCCCGGGACAGTCCCGTATTTCAGCTCTATTTTTAGTGTCCAGACTTATTTTGAAAAAATCATGTTTTTTCCCGTATTTCACAATTTCTTTACGACTGATTGATCATAGCGAATAGTAGTAGTGTTCTGTCACGCGAGAACAGTCTAATCAAAGGTAACTAAGCTTGTCATAGAACAAAATTACCATCCAATCACAATTCGTTATCGATTAACTGAGAACACAAGATCCAGGGGGCGTGGTTAGATCCAGATCCAACTTCTCCAACCTTACCTAAACCTACCCGTCTCCACCCCCTGATCCCTAAACCCACCCATCTCCACCCCTAATCCTACCAATCTCCACCCCCTAGATGTGGATCCAACCACGCCCCCTGGATCTTGTGTTCTGCAGTGAGGGGCTACTGTTAATTTGCAGTAAGTGAAGGCGGGACTACGGTGACCGAGAAGTGCAAAGCAAATCACAATTCTGAAAACAAAATAACAAATTACAAACGCAAATGCAAGTCTAAAAAACAAAATAACAATTCAGAAAGCACAACAACAATTCAGAAAACATTATAACAAGTCAGAAAACACAACGACAAATTCGAAAACAAATTTACAAGTCAGAAAACACAACGACAAATCAGACAAACCGGAAGAGGTAGGTTTAGTTTGAGACAGCGCCATTGGTTTGGGATGAGCAGAGTCGTGGTAGAAAGTTCGGAGATGGTATTAAAGTAGCTCAGTTTAAAGGTATTGTATGAATTGCCCTTACTCTGGAATAAAAAATACGGGATGTCTATTTACATGTAGTTGTGGCTGTAAAACATCAGTTCCAGTGGCGCAGATGGTTA